TTTTTTTTTTTTTTTTTTTTTGCAGAACCAAGGATTAGACTCAGGCCCTTAAGCTTGCCAGGCAAGCAGTTATTCTACTGAGCCATCTCCCAGCCCCAAAGAGGTTTTCATAATACCCTGTCTTTCCTCACTTATTTTTACAGATCAAATCAGAGGGGCTGGGGAGCTAGCTCAGTAGAATAAGCGCTCGCCTGGCAAGCGCAAAGGCCTGAGTTCAATCCCTGGTTCTGCAAAAATTAATAATAATAATAAATAAATCAGAATGGTAGTTTTTCCTATGAATCATGGAATTAAGCAATCTTTTATTTGTTCATTCAGGTTTGCACATCCTTATCAGTATGAACTAGATCACTTTACTCCACCGGATTCAGTGCTTCAAAAGCCACAACCCCAGGTTAGTGCCCCAGCCTTCGTTTAAGGTTATCTAGGAAGCCCGAAGAAGGAACGCTGTAAACTTTGTGCTATAATTTTAACATTCCTTGAGTGTCTTTAAAGTAGAACAGTAGGACTTGATGGTTCTTGGGTGATAATGCGCCTCTGCCTTAGTGAGCGTGGTTTTCAGTGTGTCCTTTTTCTCACTGGGCTGTGCTTTCTCGCTCCAGTTCTACAGGCGTGTAGAAGAAACCCCCTGCCACTTTGTGTCCTCCCTGAATGAACTCGTGGAACTCAACGAGAAGCTCTTGAATTGTGAAGAATTTGCTGTAGACTTGGAGGTATCTTGTAATGGACCTGGAGTAGAATTTTTACATTTTCTATGAGTTCACCTACTTGAGAAGTATAAAACTAGCACTGATTTTAACCTATTTTTTTGTTGATTGCGTAGCTTTTCTCTAGCTGACTTCTCTAAGTCGGTTGAGGGAAGCCTAGTGATGTCATTTCCCCGCTCCCTCTTGTCCATGTGTTAGCATCACTCTTACAGAAGCTTCCTAGGACTGACGTGCCTGATGCAGATTTCTACCCGCACGGAAGACTTCGTTGTGGATACCCTGGAGCTTCGCAGCGACATGTACATCCTCAATGAGAGCCTCACAAACCCTGCTATTGTGAAGGTCAGCCAGCCTGCCCAGCGTTGCTCGTGAGGCAGGATGCACAGGCTTACAGTGCACAGCTCCTTTTTTTAACCTAGACCCAGGACAGATGGGAGACTCTTAGCACATACCCCAGATTCTGCATGCTGCTAATTGCTGGTCTTCTAAATGCTATGGGAGGGCTGGTGAGATGGCTCAGTGGTCTAAAGCACCTACTTAGAACAAGCTAAGCTCAGCAAAGCACAGGGACTGCGGTTCAATCCCCAGCACCACATGCCAGCCAGGGCCGCCCCCTGGTGGGCTGAGCTGGCCACACACACACACTAAATAAATAAATAAATAAATTTAAAAAAAAAAAGGACAGGCAAAGGCTGTGGCCCCAGTTAAAAGCAGCATTTAGAACTGTATGTAGAGGCAGAGTTAACTCAGACACAGCGCCTTCTCCTGTGCAGTACTGCATGACTTTGACATCATTTCAGGTCTTCCATGGCGCCGATTCTGACATCGAGTGGCTGCAGAAGGACTTTGGGTTGTACGTGGTGAACATGTTTGATACCCATCAGGCCGCACGCCTTCTCAGCCTGGGCAGGCACTCACTCGACCACCTGCTGAGACTCTACTGTGGTGTGGAGTCCAACAAGCAGTACCAGCTGGCAGACTGGAGGATACGGTCAGTTGCTGCCGACGAGGAAACGTGGGAGGCAGAAGAAGCCTGGCAGTCGGTTAGCCGCTCGGCACGAGACCCAAGCTCAGGCTGCAGCCCTGTTTGAACCTTGGGATGAGAAGCCAGGCTTCTCTCTAGGTGTTCTCTGCAGCATGAAAGCAGCAGAAAACTCTAGGACGGTGCTGTGGTGTTTCCGCGGGGCTGGCTGATACAGTCAGCCCGCTGGCCAAGGTGTGCCATGTCCAGTGCCCATGGGCAGTTTGGCGCTCAGGCAAGGGCGATTGGGTGTGTATGAGGAGCCGAGGGGGCACTGTGACTTCGGGTTGGCATTTGTGTTTGTCATCGCACAGGCTGATCGCATTCTCAGGCAGCCTTGTCTCCTGAGCACTTTGAGGGACTGGCTGCCTGATGGGCCACAGTGTCACGAACATGTCACGGGGCTTCTCTCAGTCTCCGAGAGCCACGGTTTCTAATAGAAATAAAAAGAAGCCTGTTGTAGTGGCACACACCTGTAATCCCAGCACTCTGGGAGGTAGAAGCAGGAGGTTAATGAGCTCAAGTCCAGCCTGGGCAACTTTGTGACTTAATGTGCTCCTATATTAAAAATAATAATAATAATTAAAGGGGCTAGGGGTGTAGGTAAGTGTGAAAACTTTAGGTTCAGTCCACAGAACTCCTACTACCACTAATCATAATAATAAAAATGCAAAGCATAATAGAGCCAGGTACAGTGGTATATACCTGAAATCCCAGCTACCTGGGAGGTTGATGCGGTCCCCACTCTTTCTGGGCAACTTCACAAGACCTTTTCTCGAAATTTAAAAAATTTTAAAGAAATAGCGCTGTAGCTCAGCACTCCCAAGTTTCCATCCCCAGTACTTGTTGGTGGGGCAAGAGGGGGGCCTAAAACAAGAAAATGTATTTTCTGAACATCAGTCCCTGCTCTTGAGCCCTTCCCCTGGACAGAGTTCTTCAGAGGTATTGTCTTGCTTCATCCTCATAGCCTGTGACATGCATGGCACCATGTTATGGGAAGCAAGTAACAGTCAGCTTAAGGAATTTGCCCAAGAGCAAACAGAGCTAAGCGTCACTCCTTGGACCGCAGTGGCCTTATTCTAACCGCATCGTCAGCCTGCCTTCCTCTCTACGAGCTGTTGCGGTAATGGTTTGGTATAAGAAATGCTCCTACTCACTGTGAAAGAATCACTGAAATTGCACGGCTCCAGAAAGTCCTAGTACCCACAAGGTAGACAAGTGAGGTTGCTGTCGATGGGATAGTTGCTAAAGCTGTGTCCTGTGCTACAATTTCAGGCCCCTGCCAGAGGAAATGCTTAGGTACGCCCAAGATGACACCCACTACTTGCTGTACATCTATGACAGGATGAGGCTGGAGCTATGGGAACGAGGCAATGAGCAGCCCACCCAGCTGCAAGTGGTGTGGCAGCGGAGCAGGGACATCTGCCTCAAGGTACAGCCTCCAGGGCCACACAAACCCAGCATGCAAGCTCCCTCAGTCTGACTGGATTCTGGCTCTCATCTTTGCTTCTTAGATCTGTGACAAGAGCCGAATGTTTTCAAGAGGCCCAGGTACAATTTTGATTCCATTAATCTTGAAGTTCTCTGTTTTGCAGAAATTCATCAAACCTATCTTCACTGATGAGTCCTATCTTGAGCTGTACCGGAAGCAAAAAAAGCATCTCAACTCACAGCAGCTGACAGCTTTCCAGCTGCTATTTGCCTGGAGGGACAAAACAGCTCGGACTGAGGATGAGAGCTATGGGTAACGGGCTTGAGAATCCTTGACACTTGCTTCTTGGCTAAGCAGGTCTGATAACAGGGAAGCGGGACTTCTTCCCTTGGCCATGAAGGTGGTGTTTCCCTGCAAGCTGCAGCACTGAGTGGAACCTGCTGCTGAGTTACATGTGATCCTGTTGTGTTTGGTTCCAGATATGTCCTGCCAAACCACATGATGCTCAAGATAGCTGAGGAGCTGCCTAAGTGAGTCTTAAGAGCTGAGGCCACCCTCCGCGGTAGATCTCCTGTCCTTCAGATCAGGCTTTGCTTACTAGTAGTCCTCAGGCTGTGTTCTCGGAGAAGATTAGCTCTCCACGCTCAGAAGGTAGAAGTCCAAGAAGGCCCAGATGTCGGCCCAGCGGCTGCCATGAGCACTGGCACCTGCGAAGTGAGAAGTCCTAGTGATTGTGCCTTCATCAGGCTTGGTGCCAGTCTCTGAGCCTCTGGCTGCAACTTGGAAGGGAAAAAACCTCTCCAGTTCTCTTACCTGTGCTTGTGTCCAAGTGGGGGTCTGGTGATTTTAGGCAGTTTGTGCTGTGAGTTGAAGCATGAGCTAGAACCGTATCTGCAGCCTATGGGGCCCCTGTACAGGATCAGGGCTGCTTGCTTATCTCCAGCCCCACCTGTTGGCAGGTCTGCCTGAGAGCCTGGTGTACTGAGCTCAGGCACGGTGCCTGCACTGGGCCTGCCCTGACACAGCTGTCTTGTGCCATGGAGCTTCTTAGCCATGGAGCTCTTCACTGTGTAGTCATTCTTTTTTCTTTTTTTCTCACCAGTACTGGGCCAGGGCCTTCACACTGAACTGTATCCCCAGTCCTTTTTATTTTTTACATATTTTGAAACAGGATCTCACTGAGTCACTGTTCCCAGGTTGGGCTCACACTTACAGTCCTACCTCAGCCTCTCAGGAACTCGAGCACTCGTGGGCTGTGCTTCTGTAGTGAGTTGAATGTGTTCTTGTCTCCAGGGAGCCTCAGGGCATCATAGCTTGCTGCAACCCAGTACCGCCTCTTGTGCGGCAGCAGATCAATGAAATGCATCTTCTAATCCGGCAGGCCCGGGAGATGCCCCTGCTCAAGGTAAGAAGCCAGCACTTCTGCTCCAACGCCCTGACCCAATAGGCCATTTCTTTCTGCTGGCATTTTTTCTCATGGCCTTCTATGTGTATGAGCTGCTCTCCATCCTAAAGAACCCATAGGAGGCAAGAATTTGGAAATCCAGTGACTGGTCTTCCTTGGCCTGGGAGGGGGGATGGTGCTGGGGATTGAACCAAGGGCCTTGTGCATGCTTTACTACTGAGCTGCATCCCTAGCCCTTTCATTTTCTTTATGATAGTTGGGAGTTAAAACTCATCCTTCTTATTTTATGACCTCACTGATAGTAGAACAGCAAGTACGAACAGCTAGTAGCTGGGCCAGTGAGCTATTTCAGCAAAGCAGTTAACATGACAGAATGAGGTCAGGTTAGGCTCTCAGCACAGGGGCTGTACTCCAGAAGCCTGGCAGCAGTCCATGAGAGAAGCAAGTGCTGGGTGCATGTGGTGGTCACAGTGGAAGGATGGATGCAGGGAGTCAAAACAGGAGACGCATATCAGATGGTGGAAAGGGCTGCCATTTAGTTTGGTTTTGTGTGTGTGTGTGTGTGTGTGTGTGTGTCCAGCTCAGCCCACCAGGGGGCGGCGCTGGCTGGCATGTGGTTCTGGGGATTGAACCGCGGTCCCTGTGCTTTGCTAAGCTTGTTCTAAGTAGGTGCTTTAGACCACTGAGCCATCTCACCAGCCCTGCCATTTAGTTTTGAGCACTAAATACTGTTGAAGAGAATGAAGGTGGACTCCAGGACCGTTTACCATACATGTTTCTTGTTTTGTTTTATTTTGTTACACTGAGCACTGATCCCGGGGCCTTCGCATTAAGCTGCTTCCCCAGCCCTGCTTTTGAAATGCAGTCTGGCTAAGTTGCGTGGGCTGGCCTTGAGTAGCAGTCCTTCTGGACTGCTGGGTTACAAGCATGTGCCAGCACGCACAGCCAGCTCACTCCACATGTAAAGCCTAGCTGAGAAGGGAGCGATGAGAACCCTGGGTAGAGACAGGAATTCAACAAGAGCTGGCTTCGTGAAGGAGATGCTGAAGTTCAGACAAGTTTAGGTGGGAGTGGGGCATGTCCCAGGAAATCCTCATGCATGCCTGAGTGTGTAATGCATAAGAACAGGCACACAAGTCGCAGGTAGGGCAGGTTAATATTAGGTTTGTGTATTTTTATTGAGGTCTTTTCTTTTAGTAGAGAAAAGAAAATTTCATAAGATAATAGGGTTACAAAATGACTAATAAGTTGCGTATGATCTTTAAATTAGTTGCTCAGGGTACAAGATAGCAGCATTTAATTGCCCAAACAATATTAGCACAAACCTTTCTTTTCAGTGAACTAAGAGAAATTAGTAGTATAACTAACTGTCTTAACTATTGTTTATTTTTTTTTTCCCTTGCTTTTTCCCTTCTTTGTGTTTCCCCATTCTAGCTTTTCTTTCCTTTTGAAGTTTCTTCACATTTTATAGTATCTAGGGGCCAGGGAGATGGCTCAGTGAAATAAGCACTTCCCTGGTAAGCGCAGGGGCCTGAGTTCAATCCCTGGTTCCGCCAAAAAAAGAAAACACATTTTATAATATCTAGTACATTTGGGATCTCATTTATGTACTCCTCAGCTTCTCATACTGGGGAAACAGTACAGCGTTTACACATGAGCGTCTGCTCTGTTACACTGGAGTGTGGTCTCAGGTTGCAGCCATTTACCTATATAAGTCTCCAGTCCATCCTTCTTTATGGCTGAGTGGTGCTCCATTGTAAAAAAGATCACATCTTTTTTATCCATTGATAGACATTTGGGTTGTTTCCAAGATCTAGCTATTGCAGTTTGTGCTACTATAAATATGACTGAACATATGTTGCTGTGGTGTGATTTTTTTTTTAACTTCTGGGAAGATACCCAGAAGGTACATAGCAAGCTGGGTCCTAGTTTTTTGAGGAATTACAACACTGATTTCCACAGTGGTATAACAGTCTACACTCCCACCAAGAGTGGAGAAGGGTTCCTGTTTTCCACAGCCTGTCTAACATTTGTTACTGGTTGACTTTTTTTCTTTTCTTTTTTTTTGTCATACCAGGGATTGAACTCAGGACCTTGTGCTTGTCAGGCAGACACTTAATGCTGCTGAACTATATATTCCCAGCACAATTGGTTGTTTTTGTTTTTGTTTTAATGTATTTGGTACAGGATGCTGCTGTACAGCTCAGACTCATAATGATCCTCCTGTTTCAGCCTCTCTGGGGCTAGGATTACTCAGTGGCCGGCACAGCATGCCCTGGGGTAGAGCCAGTGTGTGGTACCAGGGATCAACCTGAGTTTCAGTCCTTCTGGACTGCTGGGATTACAAGCACACACAGCCAGCTCACTCCAAATGTAAAGCCTAGGTGATAGGGAAGTGATAAGAACCCTGGGTAGAGACAGAACTTCAACAAGAGCTGGCTTCGTAAAGGAGATGCGCTTTTATGCTTGCCGGGCAGGCTCTTAGACCACTGAGCCATCTCCCTGGCCTTTGGTTGACTTCTTTCTTTCTTTTTTTTTTTTTTTTTTGCAGAACCGGGGATTGAACTCAGATCCTTGCGTTTGCCAGTCAAGCGCTTATCCTACTGAGCCATCTCCCCGGCCCCTTTTGGTTGACTTCTTGATAGCCATTCTTTCTGGGGTGAGATGGAATCTTGGTGGTGTTTTAGTTTGTACCACTCAAATGACCAGTGATATTGAACATTTTTTCATATATTTATTTGCTATTTTTATTTTTTCATCTGAGAAGTATATGTTCATCTCAGATGCCCTTTTTTGAATTGAGTCTCTAAGGGCCAGCAAGATATCTCAGCAGTCTAAAGTACCTGCCAAGCACAAGGACCTGAGTTCAATCCCCGGTTCCGCAAAAAAAAAAAAAAAAGAAAAAGAAAGTACCTGCTTAGGCAAGAGCAGGGACTGCGGTTTGATCCCCGGCACCATGTGCCGTGCCAGCCCCACCCTCAGGGTGGACTGAGCAGGCCACAGAAAAAATAAGATAAAATAAAGATACCCAGGCCTAAAGGAAAAGTGGCTGAATTGAGTCTTGAAATGTGGGAGGTCTGATTTTCTTTTCTTTTTTTTTTTTTTTTGGTCCTTTAGACATTTTTTTTTTTTTTTTTTGGTGGAACTGGGGATTGAACTCAGGCCCTTGCACTTGCCAAGGAAGCGCTTATTCCACTGAGCCATCTCCCCGGCCCCACCTTTATACATTCTTGATAGTAATCCTTTGTCTGAGGAACAGCTGATAAACCTTTTTTCCACATTGTAAGTTATATTGAGGTCTTTTGTTTAAATGTTAGTTCACTTTGCTTCCCATTTTACAACTGGGCAACTTTTTTATTTTTTTAATGTATTTGGTACAGGGTCTTACTACACGCTCAGACTCGTAGTGATCCTCCTGTTTTCAGCCTGCACAGCACTGAGATTACAGGCTTGTGCCACCATGCCCTGACACAGGTGGCCTGCTCAGTTTGCCTGGGGCGGGGCCCGCACAGCATGTGGTGCCAGGGATCAAACCCCAGTCCCTGCACTTTCCTAAGCAGGCCTTAGTCACTGAGCTATCTCACCAGCTAGACAGCATTTTTATTTCATAAAATAGAGTAAATGTTCACTTGGTTTGTGTTTTAGGAGGACAGGGGGTTTTTTTTGTTTTGTTTTGTTTTGTTTTGTTGTTTTTCTGGTGAGGGGATTGAACCCAGGGCCTTGCTCTTTGCTCTTGCTTGATAGGTCCTAGACCACTGAGCTACGTCTGTAGCCCTTATAATAATATGAAGTAGTTTGGTTCAGTAGTACTTTTAACGGGTGATAAGGCATGTTTATAATTACTTAAAAACTTAGAGGTAAAATCAAAGAATCATCTGAGAAACAGGTTTTGTGGTGCAGGCCTATAATGCCAGCACTCAGGCGGCCATAGCAGGAGGATCATCATGAGGTTAAGGCCAGCCTGGGCTACAGAGCAAGAACCTATCTCAAGAACACAAGCAAAAGAGAAGAATCGTCTGATAATAAAGGCATCTATAGTCTTTCAGACGGAACAAAAAGTTAACATGTCTTCCTGGGCTAGGGTGTAGCTCAGAGGTACAGAGCTGGCCCCCGGTGTGCAGGGAAGCGTGAGGTTCTTTCCTGTGCACCACCAAGGGAAAACCGCGTTTTCCCTAGCTACTCAGTTTGTCCAGGTAGAACTTGTGGCTGTTGGAGAAGGGCCTCCTGACTCCAGAATCCTCCATGCTGACCTCATCGTGATAGACTCTGGGGTTTCGCTCACTGAGCACCAGAGAATCATGCCAGGTGCCAAAGTGAGAACAGGAGGCTGGGAGGGAAGGACCTCAGGCCCATGAGGGGCTCCTCATGACAAGGCCTGGTCCGCAGGGCAGCGCCTGTGTCGTCAAGTCTGAACAGCCTTCCTCAGCTGCTGCCTTTCTTCCCTAGTCTGAGACTGCAGCTGGAGTGAAGAAGAGTGGACCACTGCCCAGTGCTGAGGTAGAGAGTCACTCACTGTCCCTCGGGTGGGTGGGGTGCCTGTGCCAGCACAGACCCACCTGACAGGCCAGGCTCGCTCTGCTTGCCGAGTGCTCCTGGCCTGCATGCAGATTTTACATGGTGCCCACTGGTTCCTCTTTGATACAGAGGCTGGAGAATGTTCTCTTTGGACCTCATGACTGCTCTCACACCCCTCCGGATAGCTACCCAGTCACCCCAACTGCTGGTAAGGTGGGGGCCTCCCTGTGGATGCCCAAGAAGGTGGGCCACTACCTGGGCTGACAGCTTGCAGCTCTGAGCTTGCTGACACCCAAGCTTGCAGGGCCTGTGCCAGCGTGGAAGGAGGTGAGCCTCTTCGCTGACCCAAAAGAGGAGACTCCGCTGGATCCCCCGTGCCTTCTCGCCACAGCTGTTGTCACCGTATTTAATGTGAGTACGGGGAAGCTCTACTGAGAAACAGAGATAAATCCCTGGGTCTGTGGGGTTTACCCCGCAGGCTGAGGGGCTGGGTTGTGGTTCCGTGGAGCACCTGCTGGCATGTGAGGCCACTGTGCCAGCCCCAGGCCACAGCGGGAAAAGCCATCAGGCCACAGGGAGCACACACCTTTGACGTTGTGCCAGAGGAAAGATGGTGGCATGGTGAGGGGCGTGGAGAAGCGAGCACTCGGGAAGCTCCTCTCAGAGTGTATGTGTGAGGGATGGTTGCCCGGAGGGAGCAGGGCTTCAGGCCTTGAAGCAGAGGAACAGTCCTTCTTGGGGCTCTGCAGGGCAGAGTCACTGTCTATTGAATGTCAAACCAGGCTGTGTGTACCTGACCATATCCAGCGCCATCTACAGATCCTTTGGGGGAAGAAGACAACGGGGACCCTTCCATGCTGTGACTCTCTGTAGGAAATAGGGAATGGGCAGAACCTTGGTGCCTGTCCCCAGAAGAGGTGCCAGCAGTCATGATTGTTGGTGGCTGTGCCCATCCTGGAGAAGCTGCGTGGCTTACTCGGGCTGGGCTCCCAGGATGTGCACGGGCCTGCAGCAGTGCCCTCCTGTCTGTTTCCCCGGGCTACCAGGGATCAGAACTCAGGGCTCCTTGCAAAAGAAAGGCCTGGGTGAATCCACAGGGCAGAACGGCTTCATGCTGAAGCAGCAGATAAAATGGAAACGCACAGATGGAGGTCTGAGGACTACAGACAGCGGCAGAGTAAGGGTGATTTTTCAGAAAGCTGAGAAGTCTATTACCCACCTTAGCTAAGAGCAGGTATCAGGCTACTGGATGCTCAGGTGATAAAGCTTTGTGGAGTCAGGTGCCAAGCCACAGACTCATAATTCCATTGCTCAGGAGACTGAGGTAGGAAGATTTTAAGTTCAATGCCAGCCCATGTGACTTAGTGAGATCTTGGCTCAAAGTAAAAATAAAAAATGTGAGATGGATTCAAACCCAAGCACCGAAAGCAACCAATTTTAAAAAGCTAAGATATAGGAGTTAATTAGATTAAAATCACAACTATCTTATCATTCCAGTGTTGAGGTAAAGTCAGAGGGATGGAATGTCACCTGCAGGGTGTGCTGGCTCAGACCTCATGCTCATTTCTGACTTGCCACATAAATTTAGATTGGGTCTTGCTTATGCAGTTCATAAAAAGAGATGGGGAGGCAGCTCACTGCTGTGGCATGCCGAGCCCTGCTGTAGTCCCTAGTGCTCAGAGACAGATGCCCCAGACTGGGAGTGTAGCTCAGTGGCTGAGCCCCTACCTAGTATGTGTAAGACCCTGGGCTCATTCCCAAGCATTAAGGCTGGGGGGGTTCTTTTTTTTTTTTTTTTTTTTTTCTTTTGAGACAAGGTCTTGCTAAGACACTGATTTTTCCAGGTTGGACTCAGACTTTGTTTTTTTGCCTCAGCCTCCTGACCACAAGGTTATTTAACCAAGAACCATCAGGAGATTCCACAGCTGCGTATGTTAGTACAAACTGCAGGCATAAATACAGCTGTGCTCTGTTCAGTCTGAGAAAGCTGTGGTCTCCCTGGGTTGTGTGTCCACAGGAAAGCTTAAGAAAGGGGACCAAGGAGACAGCTCAGTAGAATAAGTTCCAAGTTCAGTCCATGGTTCTGCCAAAAAAAGAGCTTAAGAAAGCCTTGCCACCATAATCAGCATTATCCTCACCGGCCTGGCTTGCATGCTGATGTCACAGCGTGATCATGCCTGTAAGTGCCCAGTCTTTGTCTGGCCCTGCAGGAACCCAGTGCTGAGGAAAATGGAAAAGCTCCATTAACAGTTGCACAGAAAAAGGCCCAGAGCATCATGGAGTCCTTTGAAAACCCTTTCCGGATGGTGAGTAGCTGCTGTACGTCGCCACAGCTGCAGAGATTCCCGAGCTCTGTGTGCCTCTTACCTGAAGAGCGACCGAGAGTCTACGGAGAGGGCAAGCCCTGGTCTCATCAGTCCAGCATCCCTGGGGGGGCTCCGTTCCCCCGTCTGAGGCTCTGACTGCAGGGCCCAGGTTGCTTCTCAGCCATTCCCGTGGTGTTCCCTTGTACAGTTCCTGCCTTCTCTGGAGCACCGGGCCCACATCTCCCAGGCAGCAAAGCTTGACCCATCGTCAAAAATCTATGAAGTAAGTGGACTCGACATCCTTTCTAAAAATGACTTTCAGGCTGGGAAGATAGCTCAGTGAATAAGCACCTGCCTGGCAAGTGCAGAGTCCAGAGTTCAATCCCCAGTACCACTGAAAAAATAAATAAAAATGACTTTCTAAGGCAAGGGGATGTTTTACTTTGAACCAGGTTTCTGTCTTAGCCAGGCTGCATGTGGGGGACCTTCTTGGCCCCTTAACATGAAAGAGGACGCATTCTTCAGCTTTGCTTTAGGGAGAGGCAGAGCCTAAGCCAGGCTTTCCAAAGTGCTTGGAAATCTCACAGGAGACAGGTTTGGGTCCTGGCGTGTGTGAGATCCATCCCCAGTACTGGGGGCGACAGAGGGTGGTTTTGTGGTTTTTAATGAGGTTTTTTTATATGTAATAAAATGCGCAAACTAAATGTACAACTTGATGCTTTTCTGCTGTGTATGTCACTTCGAAGCTTCTAGAGATAATTTCGTAAGTATTTTGTTTAATTTTTCTTTTTTTAAGACAGTGTCTTACTATGTAGTTCAGGCTGATTGTTTGTTTGTTTGTTTGTTTATTTATTTATTTATTTTGAGGAACTGGGGATTGAACTCAGACCCTTGCACTTGCCAGGGAAGCGCTTATTCTACTGAGCCATCTCCCCGGCCCCCAGGCTGATTTTTAAACTATGTATCCTAGGCTGGCCTCAAGCACACGGCAATCCTCCTGCCTCAGCCTCCCAAATGCTGGGGTTTCAGGCGTTCACCATTGTACCCAGCTCCAATAGCCTGAACATGTTATTCCATCCTTGGGTTTGTCTTCAGTTCTATGAATGCAAATGCCCTTCCCTTGGGTCCCTGTCTGGTTCCTGGGAGCCAGCGTGGTGACAGGAAGCCTCCTTACTTTCTATAGCAAGGATAGTGGCCAGAGTGGCAAGTGTGGCTGTGTCGTCCAGTGACACCTTGACAGGCCTCAGGCCCTATTGCTGAGGCTTAGCTCTGGTTCCAGAAAGGAGTGGGACGTCTGCCTTCACCCCATCCTGGCTGGGGCATCTGACAGCTCCTTGTCCTTCCTTTGTCCTTGAGGATCACCCTGACGTGAGCCACTGCCACAGCTGAAAGTGGGTGCTAGAGAAACACTGGCGGGGGAGGACCTTCCTCAAGTCCCAGCTCCTCCGTTTACTGGCCATGTGCTACCCAGCCACCCCAGCCCATGTCCTCATCTCTGTTGTATTCCTTTTCGTTGGTGCTAGTATCGAGGGGTTGAACCCAGCCCTTCACACTGAGCTGCCCCCCAGCCCTCTTACATTTTTTGTCTTGAGAGTGAGAATCTCTAAGTTGCTAAATTGTCTAGGCAGCCTTCCCACTTCAGCCTCTGCAGTGCTCCCCATACAAGTAGGTGTCCCCGCACCCAGCTCCCTCAGCTCCTAACAGAAGGGGACAGTGGAGCCATCACCTACAGTATAGGGGTGTGCATGAGATGCTGGATGTGAAAGTCTCCAGCCTAGTGCCCAGAAAACAGCTGCATTTTGTTCTCCTCAAAAAGATTTTAGCGGGCCGGGGAGATGGCTTAGTAGAATAAATGCTTCCCTGGCAAGCACAAGAGCCTGAGTTCAATCCCTGGTTCCACCAAAAAAAAAAAGATTTTAGCAATGAAGCCGCAGGCTTGCTTTTGTGTCCCTAGGTTTGGAATGGGTGGCCGGGAATGTGCATAGCTCCTAGGTAAGCGAGCCCTCTGCTGCCTTGTTACACACTCAGACACTGCTGGGCAGCGGAGTTCTGGAATTTTTGTGGCATCTGTTTTCATTACAGATCAGCAACCGTTGGAAGCTGGCCAGCCAGGTACAAGTACAAACAGAAGCAAAAGAAACTGCCAAGAAGAAGGTAGCTGAGCAAACAGGTGGCTGTGACTCCCCTGTGAACTCAGCATGCTTGTTATGGGCAGCCCTTGCCGATGGTACCAGCGGACCATGGGCGAGAATGAGTGGGGAACAGCCCTGGCTGTGGGCTCACCTTCTGCTGAGGGGTGGCAGGTGGCGAACCAGCAAATGCTGTGCTGCCCAGACCAGGAGGCACCGTGTAGTCAGAGCGTACAGAGTGCTTGGTGGGCTGTGGCTGCTGCCTGTCGACGTGTTGAGGAAGTGTGTGATCAGCTTGACGTCGAGCAGAGCCCCTCCATGATCAGGGGAAGCGCCAGCTCCGAGCCCCAGTGCAGTGGGCTAGCAGGGGAGCAGGTGGGAAGGAGCCGTCAGCCTGGCTGCATCCTGCAGCGAGGGCGGCACCGAGTTGGCCGGGGCAGATGAGAGGACAGAGCATTCAGTCCCGAGCAGCTGTAGGGTGGAGTTGTCCTCGGCAGAGGAGCTGGCTGGAGAAGAAGGGTTTTGGATTAGCCCCTTGCGTAGAAGGTCATGACCCCCACAACATGCTTGGGGAGAAGAGGAGGTGGGGTGGGACCCCGGATTGCACGTGCAGGTGAAGTTGGGCACTGGTGTTGAGGCCCAGCTTCATGGACATTTCTGTCTCACAGCTACCCGGGAACAGGTGAAGGAAGAATACAAAGCCACTGCGGAGCAGGCCATCTCGGTGCGACAGCAGGCCGCGGTTCGTGCTGACTTTTCTCTCTGCTCATGCCCAAGATTCTCCTCGGCTGTTTTAAGGGTGGTCTCCCACACTTTAGGCGAGGTGTTCACCTTCCTCCACTCAGGCTGGCTTACTGGCATGGGAACAGGCCAGGCAGGGACCCTATCTGCTGTCACACTGTTCCCTGGGATCACCTCATGCTCACCACCCCAGAACACTTAGGCATTCTTTTGGGATTTTCCTGAGACAAGGTCTCACTGTGTAGTTGAGGCTGGCCTTGAACTCTGTGTAGCCCAGACGGGCCTCAAATTCACAGTAATCATCCTGCCTCAGCCTCTTGAGTGCTGGACTACAGGATACACCACCACACACAGGTAACCCTGCCTTTAAGTGGTTGATGTCACTGTCAAATTAAGAACTTGTGCCAGCTGGTATTGGCCACGTGATTGTCGTAGGTTGCAGCTTGCTCTGCTACAACCCTCTTCTGCACACTGCCATTCATGACTTCCATGTGACACAGCACCAAGTCCCTAGTTGATACGGGTTGAGCCTCCCTCATCTGACGTCCAAAATCTGAACTGTTCCCTGAGCCCCAGCACGGCACATGTGGAAGGCTGTACATCATTTCAGGCACAGAACCGTTAGGCAGATTGTACAGAAGTCCTCAATGTATTGCGTAAGGTACATAGCGTGACAGAATTTCCACATTCAGGCTCCTCATTAAGTAACAGTATTCTCAAACCTCCCAAAATCCAACCCTGGTTGCCCCAAGCATTTCGGATGGAGTTCTCCCTGTCCCAGAGGCAGCAGGGTCTCCTCTTAAATTCCTGTGCTTCCTCCCTGCGCGTACTCCCCCTGCAGCTAGAAAATGCCACCAAGAAGAGGGAGCGAACGACAAGTGACCCCAGGACAGTGGAACAGAAACTGGAGAAGAAACGACTCAAGCTTTCCAAGAAGCTCAAGGACTCAGACCCACCAGTGAAAGAGTTCACCCCCTACGACTATAGCCAGTCAGACTTCAAGGCTTTTGCTGGTAAGGAGCAGACCTGACCCTGGGAACAGGAGAGGCTGTGGCAGGAGGGAGGTCAGAGTGAGGCTTAGCCCAAGGCCCCATTCCTAGAGAGGTCAGTAGCCACTGTGGTGCCGCGCAGGCAGGCAGGCTGCCTTCTATATGACCAGGGAGTTCAGCCCCTTTACCAGCACTACCCAGAAACACCCTTCTTGCACCCCAATACATTGTGTGGTCTTGTGTGTTGAAAGTGTCAAAGCCCATAAGACCAGTCCTACAGCTGCGGCCAGGGGAACCCCCTGCTCCGTGGGCACACGTGACCTGACTGCAGCCCACAGAGCAGCTCAGCCGCTGAGAAAGGGAGGGTGCAGGCCAGGACAATCTGCGCGGGGGGACTTGATCAGGAGCACTGCTTCAGGCCAGCTTCCGACGCTGGTGAGAGCTCCTTGGGGTGAAAGCAGTCACCTAGTCACCTTCCCCCAGCAGTCTCCTGTGGGACATGACCTGGTCTCAGGCTACTCAGGGCTGCTAGGCACAAAGCACATAAATGCCTGTTGTATGTGACCCCTCAAGTGTCGTGACCTCTGGTCCCATCTCTTACCTTTCAGGAGATGGCAAATCCAAACCTTCCTTCCAGTTTGACCCAAACACGCAGGCCGCACCTGGCAAGGTAGGAAATGCAGCTGAAGGGCTGAAGGCAGCTCGACAACAGAGCGTGCTATGTGGGCCCTCAGCCTTGGTCCCCAGCCCTGCAAAATGAGCAGAAAGCACCACGTGCCTGCAGCATCCTAGTGTGCTTGCTGTGCTGTGTAGCCTCTCCAGGGATGATCTGCCCAGGTGCCTTTGCCTTCCATCATTCCCCAGGCACAGGCAGAACTGGGCAGCTGTCCCAGCAGCTGGAAATCCAGGGCCTGTCAGACCTGGGTGTGCACTTTAAAGGGTGTTAGTGTCCTCTCCTGTGGGAATCCAAGTCACAGGCAATGCCCTCCCTCGATGTGCCCCATCAGGGTCCGTGCCAGGACCTGTGTGGAGCTGCGCAGGCCCCTGTTCAGCCTTTCAGCCTCATCTTCTGACGTGCGGAGACAGCTGCTCAGGAACCTGCGGTGCACCTGCCGTGCCACGTCTCCACCGGTTGGCTTTCCTGTGTCTCCTTCTCATCAGCTTAATGGTCCTTATCATTTCAGAAACGCATTGCAGCCAAAAAACTGAAACAGTCAGTGGGGAACAAAAGCATGTCATTTCCCACAGGAAAGTCAGACAGGTACGTGTTCTTAGCCTGGCCTTGCCAGGGGGCCAGCAGGAAGGTCCCCGCCTCACTGTGGGGAACAACAGCAGAGGAGAGACCCTCTTTACTTTGAAATGAGGGGAGCCCCCCACAGGGACGTATATGACTTGCTCTGTGCCATGTATCACATGGCCACCCATGGTATCCCAGGATTAAACCCTCAAGTTCTTTCTCATGGTATCGTTTCCTGGGGCTACCTCAGAGCAAACAAGTGTGAAATTTCCCTAGACCTTGTTTCTTAGGAATGAGAAAACAAATCAGCCAATGTGGGTCGTCATTGTTGCTGAAGAATGTTCTAATAGCAGGGGTGAAATGCTCACACTAGAGCAGACCCTGAGGTGAGGGCTTCCTGAGGCATGGTGCGAGAGATACTCTACTGCCTTAGCCTACCCTGCAGGCCACTGTACTGTGCCCTCCACCCCCAGGCCCTGCTCTGGATGCCCAAATGTGGTCTGCCGCTGTCCAGCTTGGTCTTCTGAACCCTGAGCAAACCCCTCACCCGCACTCCCATGCTGTGGGGAACTGAGCTCAGGCTGCCCAACATAGGCAGGAAGTAACTCATCTTGTGTTGTCCCTGCAGAGGCTTCAGGCACAACTGGCCAAAGAGATAGTGCTGGAAGAGACCTTGGAACCCGGGCACTGGAGGTGCCACTGTGGTGCTGGTTTTGTACAGACTTGTTTTTTTAAATCATTAAAACAACCCCTCCTGAAGAAAGCTGGTCCTGGCTTTGCTCTTGCCACCACCACAGCTGTGTCTGGGAGGACAGGCCCCACGCCAGGCAGATAACCATCTCCTGCTAAGCTATGTGTGCATCCTGGGGACCCCTGGGCTTTCTAGAGAACCCCAGGACCAGCCAGCGGAATGCAGGAGAGAGGCGCCCGGCCTGCATTTCAGGGATTCTGAGGTCCCTGACCTCCACTGCAGCTGTGTGGTGAGTTCCATGGGGGAAGGAGCTGGGAGCGCCTGGAGCCCACCGGGGCTCACACAGCTTGTTTTCTTCTCTGCTTCTTATCTCTTCCTCTAAGAGGAAAACTTAGTTTCTTATTATAAAACTTGTAACGGGCTGGTGAGATGGCTCAGTGGTCTAAAGCACCTACTTGGAACAAGTTTGGCAAAGCACAGGGACCGCGGTTCGATCCCCCAGCACCACATGCCAGCCAGCTCCGCCCCCAGGTGGGCTGAGCTGGCCACACACACACACACACACACACACACACACACAAATAAATAAATAAATGTTTAAAAAAAAACTTGTAACAGTGAACCTAGGCTGTGGCTCAGCGGTAGACAGACACTTGCCTAGCATGGGGGCCACACATCCCTTAGGACATCAGGAAAAGCAAAGGAAAAAACAGTAATGTGGTCGTAAGAAATGTGGAAAACAGATGCAAACAGAAAAATGACAGTCCTGCCCCCATGGAACTAACCGGTTAGTGCAGATGGAATGCCGGTGTAAGCCTGGGCCATACTGAGGACCCACCCTCCCTGCCCACAAATTGGAAACCATCCATTTATTTGAAATGTTTACTCCAAAAAATGTGTAAGTACAGGGCTGGTGAGATGGCTCAGTGGTCTAAAGCACCTACTTGGAACAAGCTTAGCAAAGCACAGGGACCGCGGTTCGATCCCCCAGCACCACATGCCAGCCAGCCCCGCCCCCTGGTGGGCTGAGCTGGCCACACACAAAAAATAAATAAATAAATGTTAAAAAAAAAAAAAGAAAGAAAAAGAAATGTGTAAGTACAATAAAGACAAGTACAACGCACACAGAAGCACCGGGGTAGGGTGTGTGTGGCTTACTTGGGTCTGCACAGTTTTCAGGAAGGATTTAAACATCCTGTATCTTGGTGTCTATAGGGATCCTGAGCCAGTTCTGCAGATTCCAAAAGACAACTTTTAATTCACAAATCTGGCTTTTTTCAGTTGGATATTTGTGCTTTTCAGAGTTTCAGTGCAAGACTTCTTGTTCTAAAATTTATTGTAGCCAGGCATGGTGGTCCACGCCTGTAACTCCAGCACTCCCAGAGACTTGAGTCAGAAGGATCACCACAAGTTTGAGGGCAGCCTGGACTACACAGTTGAGTTGAAGGCCAGCCTGAACTGCATAGTAAGACTTTGTCTCAAAACAAAAGAAAAAAAAATCCTTATATTCATTTGTGAACCAGTCTTTGACTATTTCTGTAGAATTCCTGTTCTTAATCCTGAGATGGGCAGTTACATCGAGATAGCACAGAACACCGTTATCGTTGTTTTCACAAGTACCTAAACTAGGACTTTTGAGATTTATCTTGCTGTTTATTTGGTACAGGATTAAATGCAAGGTCTTCACGCTGAGCTACATCACCAGCTTCAAGTACACCCACACTTTGAGACAGGCTCTTGTTAAATTGCTGGGTTGCCCAGACTGGACATCCTCTTGCCTCAGAGCCCCAGAGTCCTAGGATTACAGGCCTGCACCACACCTGAGAGATATTACTGAGAGGGCTAGCGGTTGGTGACTCTGGGTGTAGAGGGTCTTTGGTCAAATCAGCCTCACCTTGCCCCACCCTAGCTAGCCAGGCAAGAGTGGCCCCAGACCTGGACAGCAGGCACAGAGCCCCACCACTGACCAGGAGTGAAGATTCTCAGAAAGCAATTCCTCACTATTCAAAAGCTCTCATTTGGGGGCCGGGGAAATGGTTTAGTAGAATAAGCACTTCCCTGGCAAGCATAGGGGCCTGGGTTCAATACCCGGTTCCACAAAAAAAAAAAGCTCTCATTTGATTTTTGAGTTTGGGGTTTGTTTTTGTTTTTGTTTCTGTGGTACCAGAGATTGAATCCAGGCCCTACACCTAGCACTACATCCTTACCTTTTGGTTGACTGGTTTTTTGTACCAGGAATTGAACACAGGACCTTGTGCTTGCCAGGCAGGCACTTACACTGCTGAGCTATCTCCCTGGCCTGACATTCTTACCTTTTATTTCACTTCAAAATGGTCTGCAGCTCAGTGTGGTGGTGCACACCTGTAAACCCCACACTAACAAGCTGAGGCAGGAGGATTGCTGAGTTTGAGGCGTAGGCTACACAGTAAGTTCAAGGCCAATCTTAACTGCGTATGAGACCCGTCACAAAACAAAACAAAAGCAGGGTCTTACTACATTGTAAAATTGCCCAAGCTGGGGGCTGGTGAGATGGCTCAGTGGTCTAAAGCACCTACTTAGAACAAGCTTAGCAAAGCACAGGGACCGCGGTTCAATCCCCAGCACCA